AGTTGTTTTTTTGGGTAATATCTGCAACTGTCACTATTAATATAATATCTAGGGCGGGAAAGGGGGTATCTCTTTTTTTTTCAAATACATATAGTGTGAGGGCCCCCTTGAGCTTAATTATAGCAAAGTTTGATCCACCTACAATTGTAGCTTGCTACAGTTTGTAGTAGTGAACAGTTTTGTTGCCATATTTTGCCTCTGAAGGTAACGTCTGCAATGTGGAATTGACCATATGTATACATGTACACTCTAAGCAATTATAACTAGTTAAAATTTTGCGTAAAATGTGAAATAGTAGTATTATGTTTAAGTGAAATAAATTGATTGAAAATGTTTTTAAATTTTCCGTAGGGTTGTCTGAATCACCATTTTCTGAAGGTCATTACAATAGTGCTTGTTGAGCCTTCTTTTCAGAGATCGTTACATACAATGTAAGGATGAAATCATCAATTTTAGAAATCATACATATTTACTTTTATTATATTTATTTATTACTAATAGACAGTCTATTGCTTTAGGGAAAATCCAAATAACATGGATACACAGGGGAACTCTGTAAGTACTGCAATTGAATAAAAGTATTTATTTATTATTAAGCTTAAATTAGGCAAAATCAATGTAAATTAAATTCCTTGCTATACAGGCCATCTATCGGTGGAACAATTGAAACAGAAAATGGCCTGCTCAAATCATTGTCAAAATTATCTCAAGTTTTTGAAATATTGGTCAGTTCAGGCAAAAATCATTATGTCGCTTTTGATCAGGAAGGGGGAGCTGGTAGCTTTCTTTAATAYAAAGAATCTTGGAGCATGACAGCCACCACTTTATGTTGCCAATTAATATGATTCCCATTTCTTAAGACATCCTAATGTGGAAATGACCCACCATGATTATGAACTATGATAAATTGTATTTAATTGTGTTATTTGATGCTAGTCTTTTGTATTCTTCATCTTATATCTGTAAAATGCAATGTACATGTATCTACAATATTACTGATTGCCATCTTCTAATATTTTGAACATATTTGTAAGGAATAATATAAGTAGTAAAATTGACAAGCAAACAGCTGGATAAATTACCTACACTAAACTTCCTTGATTATAAAACTGACAAKCCTAAAAATAGTGACCCCTTCACCCACATTTAAAAAATCACCAMCCCCATTCTTTAGCTGACTCTTAGCACTATATGATAATCTCTTTCATAGAAACAAACTGCCTGTGAGGAAGTAAAAACAGTTGGTYAGTGTACAAAGCTTCTGTGGCATTGTTTGTCTGTCAACCCTGACAGTACAAATAGTATTTAATTTTATTTTATAGGTCTATGTACATATCAATCCCATTTAATAGTTGACCTAACTTTGAAACTGATGGACATAATTATGGAGAAAAGCTACATGTA